CCCCCCCTCCAGCACAGGGTGTGAGCGCTAATTATCGTAAGTGGCTGCCAGAGGCCCGGGGCGTGGAGAGGGGTCACAAAAATGGGGGAAAAAAGAGACGCGGAACACAAGGGGCGAGTGTACGCCCCCCCCCTCCTCCCCCCAGCAAACCCTTCACGCGACGTGTTTGCAACAACACGCGGTCAATAATAAGCACCCGGTGGTTGCACAAGGCGAGCAGAAACACCCGCTCCATGTCCTCCTCCCACGCAATAGCGCAGCCGCAGCGGCCAGCCAGCGGGCGGGGCCGAGAAAAACCAACCGCGGGACGTGTCTCCGACGATCTGATATCTAGAAACGAGACATTTCTTGCTCGCCGCCTCGGCTGCGCGGCGGCGGCGGCGCTCTTTTCGCTTGTCACGCTGCAGCGGCTGGCTGGCCTCTGCCACGGGCCTAAGGCAATCGGCGTTACGAGACGCTGCCTCTCTGTCTAACATCGTCCACCCCCACCGCCCCCTCCCCCTCTTTCATACCTTCTTTCTTTTTCTCACTTTTCCCTGGCTCCGCCTTTTCTCTGACCAGCAGCAGGAGCAGCGCACCGAAGTCGACGCGACGACGCCCTAGTCTGACAAAATAGGAGAATGGGGTGTGGGGGCGGAGAGGACGGGTCGGGAGCGGGGCGTGCAGCAGGCGGGGCGGCAGGAGGCCGGGTGTAATGATGGCCATCAACACGGCAAAGCAGAACACTTCCGCACTCGTTGTCGGGGCGTTAAAGTCAAATCAAGTCTGCTGGATGGAGAGCGCGCGCGGGCGGGCGTGCCACCACTGCCACTATCATCATCACCATCAACCATCACCATTATCATCATCATCATCACTACCAACATTACAAACAACATCCCCAACGTACCTATCATGAGCAACGAGACGGTGAGGTGCTCCCTGCCCGAGGCCTTCATGGCCCCCAGCACGGTGCCCACCACGGCGCAGCACAGCCCGACGAGCAGGATGAGGAGGATGAACCACCGGATGGAGACGGGCTGCCCCACCAGCACCCCGCAGCAGGACTTGGGCTCCTCCTCGGCAGAGTAGGCCGCTCCGCGCCCGGGCCTGCGGCAGACAAACACAGGAAGAGATAAGTACAAATAAGCAACATCACCAACATTTTTTCACAAAGAAAGAATAGAACTAAAGTGTTTATTGTTTAGGATTTTATCACATACGCGATTAAGTACCTGTTTAAGTATCTGCAAAAGTGCAAAGTACACGCCCAGAATCACAAAATGAAAAACACAGATCCAACAATATGGGAGAGACGACATCGGCAACATGCAGGTAGGTGATAGATGTGTGAGTGTGAGAGACAGAACACGGGAAGCGCACTTGGGCGTGAGTGGCGCACAGAGCCGGGCCAGGCAGTTACGGAGCGGGGCAGGGCAGGCGCCACTGCGCGCGCGCCCTCCCGGGAGTGCGAGAGAGACCAAGCAGGACTGCGTAAACTTTAGGCCAATGTGAGAGACGTGTGATCATCGCTCTCTGTTCCTTCCGAACTTTACAGAATGCTCCGTCTCCCTCACGCCTCACTGCCGGGCCGGGCGTGGCGGAGCGCCCGTGAGGTAGTCCACCCGCATGCACGCGTGCCGGGCGGCTGCCTACCCGCACGGCACTCTCCCCCCCCCTC